GATTATCCTGATAATGCCACAAGGGATATTTTAATTATTAATTAGGTTCAACAACCTTAGCTTACTCCAAAATACAAGAAAAAAAGGAGGGTGGAGGAAAGAGAATATTTTTTTTTTCTCTAATCAGTTTCTCTTTTACTATTTATATTATATGAATATTACTTCTTCAAGCAAATTATCATGGTTGTAGAATAAATGCTTAAAAAAAGTCTTGAAGTGGAAAAAGAATGGCTCTGAGGAGATAACAAGAATATAATTACAATCAGAAAAGGCATAGCTTTCAAAATCGAGTGATTTGAAATAGCATAAATTTTTTGTGGAGCCGATTGACGGTTCCTTACGCAGTCATCCATATATTGATGTATTGACACATATCCCAAGTGTAATTATTTTACAGCACGTGTCAATACACAATTTGCAAATAATTTTGAACGACTCTATAAGCCTTGTTATCCAATAACTCCATAGCACAATTGACCTAAATAGTCTAATCTATTGATTAATTTTGACTTTATAATCCCTCTAACTTTAGCTAATACTGGTAATATGTACAAATTGTCTTATCACAATAGGAACTTTAAACATGCCATTCACACAATGCCATCTAGAACTCGTAGAAATCCAAAGGAAATCTAAAAGCAGGCCGAATAAATCAAGCACAGTGTCTGCATGTGTTAGAACAATCTATAGGCGTGCCTGCCTTCGCCACAAGCTCTCGATTCTCTTTTTATCATCATCACCATCATGATTATTAGAATTATTGCTAACACTGTTTGATTTTGTTTGCATTCCCAGTTTCTGCATGATTACATCATCCCACCACCACAATAAAGAAAAGAGTTCCTCATTGGCCCTACTTATGAATGTATATCAATCCCTAGCATTTTAAAAAGGAACTGCTCCAATGAAAATATTTCACTATTTGTTTCTCATGCCTCCACAAAAAACCGAAGCTGACTACTTATCCAATGCATAATCTAATCTATCATTTAATCTCATCCAATCAAATTGTGTTTACAAATGAAGACTCGTTGACTTACAAAGACGGTAAAAAATTGTGATGCTGTATAAAAGGAAATATTAATAAAAAAGATCATCATGATTTGCACTTGGTGTTCTCACTGTCTAAGATTCAAGTTTGTCAAAATCAAATCAACAGTGGATCCATAATAAAGGAAAATGAAGGGAGACTCACTTTCACTATCAACCAGAATATTAAGAGATAATGAAATTCCAAAGGCACTTCATTTTACCTCCATAAGTCCCCACTCATGAGGGAGAGTGATGTCGTATCAGATGACAGTCCAGCCACTAGGATCACATCAAGCGTGCATATCCCACAAATTACGGCCAAAACTTACTTGCTCGATCACTTGGAACTGAAAACACACCCTTTTCTGCATGTAAACAAAAGAGGATATCAAATCGGAAGTCCCATTAAAAGGTTTATATGGATAAAAGCTAAAGAAATCTTCATACCATCACTCAAAATCTTCACTACTTAGATCAGTGGAAAGGACTATAAGTGTACAATAAAATTAAAAGTCAAACTAGAGGTAAACCGTAACCATACTGTTTAATGGAATGCATTGATTGTCACCTTGTGTTATTTTTGTCCTTTTTTTTATTTTTGGGCTCTTGTATATGAAGATAAAATTTAAAAGAAACATATACTTGAAACCTAATTAGAGGAAAATCTACTACTAGCAATTTTTTCCTCTAGTTGTGGTCCCGTTATATGGTCACAACAAGTTGAAAACCAATTCCTAGATAATCATAAACAGCCATCTGGGCTAATGCTAGAACAAAAATGATTCCTCGGCCTTTCATTGAGTAATGATCAACGTTCAAATCCGATTCTACAGCTGATGGAATCTAAAGATGCCATCACCAGTACACATTCAGAAAGGTTGTAAGAAAAAAGTCAGTGAGCTCCAGCTTTTGGCCATAAAAATATAATCGAACATTTATTATTTTAGGCACTTTTTCTTTGGCGTTTGCCATTCAAAAGGCCAGATGGAAAGCTCCATCTGTCAAAAACACATTTTTTTTGTGTGAAGAATCTCTTGAAGGAACGAATTTTTGGAGAGGTTGAATTCGAGATGAAATGTGATCGTGAAAGTTGATTTTAATAATAATAATAATAATAGTATTAAATATGACTAGTATTAAGCAAATGTGAGTAAGTAAATAGTGGACTTAGAGTGAAAATGTGTGATCATTATTAGTGATTTGATAGTTTCAATTTGGAAATGTGTAGAAGGGGCTGGTGGGAGGAAAAATGAAAGTTAGCGATNTGATTATAAAATGATTGTTCTATCTTTTTTAAAGTGCATTACCACAGGCATCACTTAGATATGGAGAGCCACATGTAAGAGCAAGCCTGAAATATTATTTAGCTGGAAGGCAGCAAACTCTTTTACTCAACAGAATGTAACCCCAAAATTAATATCATGTATCTACATTAGGAACACTGACCACAATCTTTTACACCTTCATACAAGGAAATGGAGTACGTATTGAACGAGATAAATAAAACATTATTTGTTCGCGACATTTTGTTTCATTACCTGGACCTCGGAATTAAAGTAACAGACTTTTAACAAGCTCATGGGCTACAGCAACAAAAAATCTTTATCCTGCATGTTAATACAGGCATGTGTTCGAATCCAGGATATATATAATGTGATCGAACTTCAAAATTGATAGGAGCGCCTCAAGAATTTCAAGCATATGACAATCAGTTTCCAGAATTCTAGTAAATCCCTCCCTATACATTAATTCAGAACATGTTGAGCCTAAGTGGCAGACTCTCACGCTTCGGATGCTGACATGGCAAAAATCTATGCTTTGTAATGTTGTTTATATATTCATTTTTGCTCTGGAGTCAGGCTTGGTATTAGACATAAACAACTTTTTTCAAACTTGGTAAGTGTATGTTTAATTTTATTTTTTTTCTCTCAGTACACATTTCCTTCTTAGTTTCGGCAAGTAGCAATCTTACATATTATAATTTTCTCCTATATTTCTCTCCTAAATTACGATTTACATATCACTTTCTGCACTGCCTATTCCTCTTTTTTTTCATCAATTAGTCCATCAAAATATTTAAATAAAAAATTTATTTTAGCAATAATTTTCATCATATATTTCTTAACTCAACACCCGTGTGGTACACGGGTATTGTACTAGTATGATTTATAAGGGAGATCACAGGATAAAAACAAACAACATCAATTAAGAGATAGCACTCCTTTAGCCTTTTCATGCCTGGACATAAAAATATTTCAACGATGAAAGAGTAACAGGCAGAAAACATTATTAGTCAGAGGACTATAAAACTAACCTTCCACTTTAAACATCTCGATGGGTTCAAATAATTCTTCTGCAAAATACATTGGCATAGCTATAAGGTCTTTCTCATCATGTGTTCTACAGGCCCATTGAGTATCTACCCCTGAAAGATATAATGTCCATGCCCCTGAAACAGTTGGGCATCAATGTCAGAACCAGATTGCATAAATGTGAATTTTTTTTTTTTTTATGAAACAGTTTCAGATTTTGTTCAAGATGCTCGGCAATCGGTTTAATTATGAGCACCTCAAGGAAAATAAGTGAGTTTGAAATAGGTTCAAACCCCAATCTGCTTTGACACAAATTCTGCATGGTGATTACACAATAGTGAGAGTGTGTTTAGAAAATGTCAGGGAATGTGAATAATAGTTCTAGGATCAGCATTTAGAGATTTCTTCACGTGTAATAAAGCTAAAAATGATATAATGAGAAACAATTTGACATCTGATATCATGGTAAGAATCTTGATAACATTTAGACTTGCCAAGACAAACTACTCAAGCTAGAACTTCAGCAACATCGTTAGACATTATTACAAAGTTTCTATGATTCAAGTCAACTCAGAGAAATAAGAAACTACAGACTACAGTACAGCAACAAGGTGAATCACCAAGTGAGAGGCTGTGATATTTCGTGCTTCACTCAATCGGGTATTATGCAGAACTATACAGAGAATACTTAATGGCTATTGACATCTATGGATTTAGTCACTACGAATATAGTTTAAGTTTAACGCTAGCTTGATTTTGCATCTATTTGACATTATATATGACATTATCCAAGCTGCTCTACCCACCTGCATAGCCACAGCTTGTTAAGTGGTAGCATGTTATAGCAATTATCTACTATCAGTAACGACTTTCATTTAGGATAAACATTGGCTTATTGGTTACCATGAAACAAAACAATGCTTCCAATCATCGTACTCAATACACTTAAATAAGTAGATGTGCACCTCTTCTTATGACAGATTGTGAAAGTAATTAGATGTCGTTGAGTATAAATGAAAAAGTTTAAACTAAATTAAAGCTCACCACTGTTACAAAAACTCACACTCAATAGTTACTCAACATCAACTGATTGCTGACATTAACAGCCAGGTTATGCTGTCCAGCCTCGTATGAGCATGCCAACTTAGGTAGTAAAATCTAAGGAAGACCAAAAAGAGTTTTTCATTTGGCAAAGACAGGTATCTGACCACTTCAAGCTGAGGCACCAATTCTCTTGTGTCCAGCTAATATGATATTTTCTGCGCGCTGAACTAAAAGAATGAACAGGACAATAAGACAATTGATGTGCAAAAACTTTCGAGTAATCAACTTAAGGTTAAATAACTTGACAATTATATTTAACCAGGGTCTGTTGATATCTAGCAGGACAAGACTTCAATATGTTTATAAGACATAATTAGGACAAATGCATACACAATCTGCAGCACAGGCTTTCTCTCTTGATCTGTTTTGACGAGCTACCGAGCTACCGAGATGCTTTCCATTGCAGCAGTGCCTAACTGGTACTTTCTTTGCAATTTTGTTCCTGCAGGAACAATATCTAATTGAGCATACAAAAGGGAAAATTCTGGCATCATAAGTTTTTCACTTTAACTATATGAAGTGTTTCTTTTTTTTTTTTCTTTTATGAATATAGAAAGAGACCGAAAATGATCATAACACCGTATTGAGGTTCCATGACTCTATAAGTTGCAGCAAGCCCTGATTGTTCTTCCTATAGAGAGGAATAGCTCAAATTACATCTCATTTAAATCTTACTCTTGGTATCTTACTAACACAGCATGCAAGTAACGAGAATAAGCTAAAGAAGTTTCACATTGACTTCAATTTTAAAAGGGACAAGTCTCTCATTAGCTGTAAAAATCATGCAAAGATGGCTCTGCCCACTCACCAACATAGTTTTGAGGTGTTTAACAGTAATGCATCCATTGAGGAAGAACAATTCTGATGCATCCCATTACTCTCCCTGGACACATAGTGTTGATTTGCATAAGGATCACCATTCAACCCATATACATTGTTGATCATATAAATTATAATTCATAAAAATTTGTGAAAACTGCACACTATTTTAGTAATTTCGTTCTTCCAAGTGAAAGCGCGAGAAAGCAGCAATGAAAGTAACTAATCAAATTAATAAAAATGACTCGAGTACCTGTGTGTTTATCAACCTGAATTTCTAACAATAACCTGAATTACTACAACCACAAAGAAGTACCAACTTGTTTCCATAAAGGGTAATGACTTTTGAGAGCAAAGACACAAATTCTCATCAGCCTGAGGTCTATAAAACAGTGAGTACATATGTTATAGATCCCATACACAGTCATTTTTCTGCATATTCAAAGGATCTAACAAGAAAGATAGATTATAGGAAATCAAAAGGGCAGAGAGCAATTCGAGAATCCAACATTGTATGGACCTTTCAGGGTAACAACACGACAGCAAACATATGCATTCACCAAAATACATACGAAAAAAGCCAAAACACCAACAAAAATCAGCTGGCTACCCAACAAAATCCTGAAAGAACTTCGAGAATCCAACACTGTATGGGCCTTCCCGGGTAACAACTCGACAGAAAACAATTGCATTCACCAAAATACACACGAAAGAATCAAGACACGAACAAAAATCAGCGCAGCAAAATCCCTAAAAACCTTCGAGAATCCAACATTGTATTGATCTTTCAGGATAACAACACGACAGCAAGCATATGCATTCACCAAAATACACACGAAAAAAATAAACAAAAACAAAATATACGAACAAAAATCAGCTGGCTACGCAGAAAAATCCCTAGAAACCTCGTCATCAAGACATGCTGAATACACACCGAAAGCGTGAGAAAGGAAAAAGGGATAAATTCTTACAGATTTTACTCCCCAGAGTTTTGCTTGAGCAGATAGCTGACAATGTGAAAACTAAAATCGCGAAAGGCGCGAATGAAGTGTTTGCCGCTAAAATGAGCAAATTGGGTACGCCTTTTTTACGTGGAGTCTGGAGAGTGACTGAAGCATTTCAAGTTGGCTTAAAGCAATAAAGCCTGTTATCTTTTTTTTTTTTCTTTTAACAGGCTTAAAGCCTGTTATCTAAAATTGCTTATCTCGATAAATAAGTTGTTGCATTTTTTGATAGTCAGTTTGTGATTCAATTTTGTGAAAATAACATTTTTCATGATCATATATCTATGTTTAGTTTCATTTTACACGTGATATAGTGTGTACTAGATATTTGTCAATTGAAAAGTTTATATCATGTACTTGAGAATTCTAAAATTTGATACGTGTGATTAATGTGTTAAATGGGAAATCTATGTGAAGTAGCTGATTTTTGTGTGTGCCACGTATTTGCCATAACTTAGAGCAAGTATGGTAATGAACCCATGTCAACTCAAGTCTTGTGAATCGATTTTGGGCTAAGGTTGAGATTGTTTATATTTGTGGGCTAAGTGATTATAAATTGATGGCCCAATTATTTGTTTCTCAGGCACAATTTCTTTGGCAGCCCACTTGACTTGCGATCTTCATTATTCGTATTAAGTATTTCGATCCAAATTGTTCGTTGTTCTTTTAAAACCTTCAAGGTGCCCCATTTGGGACTAGGCCCTCATTTTTTTTTTTATTTTTTTTTCTCCCTATAAGCTTGATGATCTATCTACCCTCTCTCCGCGATTCTCGCTCACTCTCTTGATTTTGTGTCAATCGATCCAATCCTATCTTACCTTTGAGATCATTGTAATAACTGGTATTCAAGTGTTGTGAGGATCTTGATCTTGACCTCATTCGTTTACTTTATGCGTGAAAGATTCCAAGAGGATTCGATTGGTTTCGGGCAGAGCTTTGTGCATCGGTCGATGATGTTACTGCTGGGCTTGCAGAGCCGAAGCTATTTTGGTCACGAGTCCACCGATCGGTTTTTTGGTGACTCGTTGGAGGGCTTAACGTAATGGAGGCTGAGCCTAGTTGTATTAGACTCATTCTCATGGCTTTCGAACTACCGTGTTCGAACACAAATTTTCTCGATGAAGGATGCATTGTTTTCAATTTTATTTTATTTTATATTTCAACAATTTTCAAATTTTATGTTTAGTTAATTGCTAATTTTTCACTACGCTTGGCAAATTTTGTGTTTTAGTAAACAGAGTGAGTCCCACATACCCAAGGCTCAACATGTCTTGCGCGTCCAGCTCGTCACCCAATGAGGTCATTAAGTCCCCACACCAACAAAGCGAGTCCAACAATACCCCGACTCTTTTTCTCTAAGTTGTTCCAAGAATCAGTTTTTGTCTTTTTTTTTTTCCACCAAGATTGCAATTTTTTTGCTTGTTATTACTCTTGAGATATCTAGCGGTTTATATATTGTATCAACTTAATGCGCCATGTGACGGCACGTGTAGGTTAATGTAATTGCTAAATTTTACCTTATCCTATTGTTTGATAGCTCGATTGCATGTTTCTAAACCCTCTCTTTTAAAACTCACATGTGAACAATGAATTAAATCACACTAATTTGTATTTTTTAAAAATTATTTCTCACTAATTTCTTTAATCGTTATGGAATTATGTTGGGAAGGGGAAGTAAAACCAAAAGTATCCACGTCTTGCACTAAGTCGTGACTTTTAACATTCTAAACAAGCCCAAGCAACCATTAAATAAGTTTGAGCCCAATAAATTCTGAACAGAGAAAATTGGCCAACCATATACACACATTTGGAAGCTTTTTGGGCTAAAAGCTGAAATTTTCCAGCCTATTGGCATTGCCGCATTGGTTACCTCAAGGAAAACGTGTGCTTGTGGAGGAGGGAAAAAGTCAAAGGTCAATGCAATCGTGCATTTATCTATTTCTTTTCAGAAAAGGTAAGATATATACGTATGCTCCACGCATATTTTAAAAAACCTACAAAAAATATATATATCCGTAAGGCCGTGTTTGGCCTTCATCGGGTCGTGGAAATCCTAACTTAACCAAATCCCTATTCAAAAACATAAACCCTAGAAATCAAAACAGGTAATTGGGCAAATCACAACAAGCAATCATGGCGACCCTTAGCATTTTGCGGACGGATGAAGATCTCATTATGTATTCGACTCTCTTCGGCAATCCCAAAGGTTCGATTTTTATATATTTCGTTGTTTTGTCCTGATTTACAGATTTAATCGGACGTTTACGCTTCGAATCTCGCTGTATTTCTGTTATTTTTAATATACATTTTCGTTGCACTGTCTCGGCTCACTATTTTTTTCCCTTCTATTTTGTGTGCCTTTTCCTTGTATTTTTTCATGGTTGCAGATGAAAATATTAAGTCCCGGGGGACGCAAATTGAGAAGAAGATCGAGTTTCTTGAGAACCTAGCTGGAAGAGTAACTAATTTTTTGCTTGCCCTTTTAATTTTTTTGCTTGTTTATTTACTGTCTTTTTAGGTTTGTTTTTTCAATAGTGTTTAGAATCTAAGCTATGCTGTGCAGGTTAGCAACAGAAGGTATCGCCGGTGGATAAACGATCGGCTGTTGATGGAGCTTGTGCCGCGTTTGGATGGTGATGAAATCAGGGGCTTGTTTGCTCCACCGCCATGGGGTGAGTGTTTTTCAGGAAACAAAAGAAAAAGAAATAAATGGGAAGTTCGTGGAAAAAGAACAGGTTTTGTCTGGTTTTTGGAATTAGTCTTTATGGGGAGAAGATATCTGGATTTTCAAACCGTAAAACGTAATGTGGATTGTGGTGCCACCTTTGTGCAAATGGCTCTAGAATATCTGGGCATTTTGAGTGTTTAGCTCGGTGTAATGCGTATCAATTATGAAATAAGTTATGTAAAATTGTAGGTGATGATGTGCCTCCTTCAGCATTCAGCAAGACAAATGTGAGGGAGTGGGATAGTTTCAGAAACATAGACATGAATAAGGAGGTATATTCTCCTTATATTCACATATCTAATGGGTCACATTTGATTGCATTTTGGAAATTTTTTTTGAAATAATGTGTAAAGTTGATTTTAATTTTAGCTCTAGATCGACATATTTGCGAACAAATTTACGGTAGTGTGCTTGCCTTGTTTTTTGAATTGTACCAAAATTGTCTTTTCCAATACCTCAAACCAATTTTCTGTTTGTATTCGATAAATCTGTAATTCTCTTTTGTGATTGGTATTTCCTTTTGCTTTGAGTATTTATATTTGGATCATTACATGGCTTAAACCTTTTCATTTTTTCCCCTTTCTGTAGGCCTCTATCATGGAATCCCTCGAAAGCTCGTCAGCAATGAGGAAAGGTCGTATGGATGCTGAAAAAGTCTCAGTGCTGAAAGCTTGGCACCGCGTAGATAACAGAACTAGAGAGGCACTTCGTCGATGTTATCTTTTAGACTTGCTGAATGGATATGAGGTACTTGAGATTTGTTTTATAGAATGCTATTTTTGTGAATTTTTCATTCTCTGTTTTGATTTATGACTATAATATTTAGTATCCGTATCTTCTTGAGACATATTTGTGTCCGGGGCTATTTTATAATAAACCAGTTGTGGGATTCGTTTTATATATTGTATATTTTGATTTTTTTCTTCCTGAGTTTGTACTCTTAATAGTTTCGAATTTGTCGGAAATAATCCCATCAGGAATGTGTACGGTCATTTGTCGAGGATGGTGGAGACAGAGATGTTCTGGTGCTGCGTGTTCAAGATCCTTTCCACCGTTTACTTTTGCATGGCGTTTGTGAGGTATATATATTCCTATATCCTAGTTGTCTTCTATTTACTATCTTTTCGTTTGAAAAGTATGATAGGAGGAACTTTCAACTCGTTACTCTCGGCAGTTTAGTAATCAGAACAGTCATCAAAGTTAATGGATGTTGTCGGTGAGAATATATATTGTTTTGGGAAAATATATAAGTGTCTGCTTGTTTACAAATATATTGGTAGTTGATTGG